TTCAGAACTGCCTCAATTCTTCGTGGCATAGATTCAACAAGGTGCTGGAAGCATTCCTCAGGGAGTTTGGTCCATATTGACATGATGGCATCACACAGTTGCCGCAGATTTGTCAGCTGCACATCCATGATGCGAATCTCCCGTTCCACCACATCCCAAAGATGCTCTATTGGATTGAGATCTGGAGACTGTGAAGGCCATTTGAGTACAGTGAACTCATTGTCATGTTCAAGAAACCAGTCTGAGATGATTCCAGCTTTATGACATGGCGCATTATCCTGCTGAAAGTAGCCATCAGAAGTTGGGTACATTGTGGTCATAAAGGGATGGACATGGTCAGCAACAATACTTAGGTAGGCTGTGGCGTTGCAACGATGCTCAATTGGTACCAAGGGGCCCAAAGAGTGCCAAGAAAATATTCCCCACACCATGACACCACCACCACCAGCCTGAACCGTTGATACAAGGCAGGATGGATCCATGCTTTCATGTTGTAGACGCCAAATTCTGACCCTACCATCTGAATGTTGCAACAGAAATCGAGACTCATCAGACCAGGCAACGTTTTTCCAATCTTCTATTGTCCAATTTCCATGAGCTTGTGCAAATTGTAGCCTCAGTTTCCTGTTCTTAGCTGAAAGGAGTGGCACCCGGTGTGGTCTTCTGCTGCTGTAGCCCATCTGCCTCAAAGTTCGACGTACTGTGCGTTCAGAGATGCTCTTCTGCCCACCTTGGTTGTAATGGGTGGTTATTTGAGTCACTGTTGCCCTTCTATCAGCTCGAACCAGTCTGGCCATTCTCCTCTGACCTCTGGCATCAACAAGGCATTTCCGCCCACAGAACTGCCGCTTACTGGATGGTTTTTCTTTTTCGGACCATTCTCTGTAAACCCTAGAGATGGTTGTGCGTGAAAATCCCAGTAGATCAGCAGTTTCTGAAATACTCAGACCAGCCCTTCTGGCACCAACAATCATGCCACGTTCAAAGTCACTCAAATCACCTTTCTTTCCCATACTGATGCTCGGTTTGAACTGCAGGAGATTGTCTTGACCATGTCTACATGCCTAAATGCACTGAGTTGCCGCCATGTGATTGGCTGCTTAGAAATTAAGTGTTAACAAGCAGTTGGACAGGTGTACCTAATAAAGTGGCCGGTGAGTGTATATTTCAACCTTTCAAAGAACAACGTGAACAAGAATCATACCTTTTCATTTTTGATAAATTATAATTTCCTGAGATTGAAGTTTAAAATCCATTCAAATTCTAACTACTCTAAGCCACTTTGCTTTTTTTCGTGACTCGTTTTAAACATAACAAACTACAGCCCACAAGCACGGAGCCCCATCAAACCAGTGTGCATGTTCAGATTTTTATTCCTGTTACACTGGGAGATGAGAATTTGCAAAGAATTGGATGATTTACAGCAGGTTACAATTTGCTTCTGATGGACTGAACATCCTAACAGTTCATAGGAAAGAAAGCGGGGGGTTACGTCCTGCTTCTTAATGTGTTTAAAATCTTAGGTTCAAAACTGTTAAAGCAGCTTTAAGATTCAAGTTCAATTGTTTATCTGAGTAACAGACTGCAAAAAAACATAGAAACCAAAGTCTAAATTTGTTAGAACAATAACAGTAAGTTCTTCATATATAATGTTCAGAAGGGATCTACTTTTACATGTAATTATATGAAATTTTATGGATGTACTTATTTAAAGAGAAAGACATGGGGTGTGTAAAAATTAACAATACCAAAAGGACTATAAAAAAAACATAACAAACAATATTTCTGTCTGGTTTCTGAGTAGCTAACTGTGTACTGTGATGTGTTCTACCTGATATAGTGTATGAGTAGCACAGTGATGGGGTAGACATAACAGTCATGGCTTCATCATGGCTTGCAAAAAAAATAATTTAATACAACTAAACTTATATTCTAAAGATAGTTTTATTAATAATATAAATAGCAGGAAATTAAAAAAGAGAGGAACAAACTCTTAAGGTGTGTTATGACATATTGACGAGACTTAATTCAAATGCAGTATGTTTTAGGTGGAGGGAAACCAGAAGGAACAATAAAATAAAATAAAAACAGAATATGGTGAAAATATCTGAAATATTTTACAGGTATTACCACTCTCTCTGTAGCTACAACTTGTTGACCTAGCTGCTGTTTGGTCACTGCTGCTGTTGTGTACTATATTTGCCTGTGAAGTAGGTACCCTGGGAATGAAAGGGGTAAAAAAGAAATAAGAAAGTGAACACAACACGAGAGAGCAGAAAGAGAAAAAAATAAGTCTACTTTTCTTCCGCTGCTAAGTCAAATGGGAAAGAAATTTAAAAACATGCCCAGATTGACGTGGGATGCAGGATATGTGTAGAACATTGATTTATTAAAAAATAGAATACAAAAAATATATATTTTCGGATTAAGCATGTGATATAGGGAATGTTCTGAATTTTACATTCTTATCTGGGCCAAACCAGAAAACTGTTTGGTATGTGTATGTACAACTAAAAATGCAAAAAAAAAAAAAAAAAAAAAAAAAACAGAAACAACAAAAAACATCAGAATTTTGATAGCACCCTGTTTAATTTGTGCCAAAAGATATACGTATATTCATATCCTTGAAATATGAAGGTAATGCAATTTCATTTACAGCTGACTCAGTCTTTAGCATGTGGCTGTTTACATTTCACATAAATATGAGAACAATATTGACACCTGCAATAATTGGATGGATGGATGGATGGATGGATGGATGGATGGATGGATGGATGGATGGATGGATGGATGGATAGATAGATAGATAGATAGATAGATAGATAGATAGATAGATAGATAGATAGATAGATAGATAGATAGATAGATAGATAGATAGATAGATAGATAGATAGATATCTTAAGTGTGATTTAACAGAATAAACGCAAGTAGCAGGATAACTCTATAGATAATGTCAGAAATGTCATAATTGTTTAAGATTTTCTCAAATTCCTGTTGTCTTCTTTCTTCATTTGTTTATTCTTTGCACCGCAATAATCAGCATGTTATGTGAGCTGATATGTTTGTACTTTTGTGTTTGTCTGCTCCTCATTCAGATTCAACCAGTTAATGTAAATAAACAAATAATTGCATTGAAGTATCTAACCTAAATTCTTACTGTTACATTCAGACACCGCTGTCTGTGTGTGCGGAAGCACTTTGAGGGTCCAGCTCTCGGTTTTACAACAGCCTGTTTTGACAGCAGCAGTGTGACTCCTCCATCCAAAACAACACGAGCGACGTTAACATCCTCCACGAATGCTTTTTGGGGTAAGGGCTTCCCGGGTTCATGTATGCACAGCAAGCCCAGACCGCAAAAAGATTCGTGACGGACAGCTGCTACAAATCACAGTCAATCTATCGTCCACGACTCCCGGTGGTTCTTCATCCTCAAAGAGTCTTCAGCTTCTGCTCTGTCGTTTTATGTGTTTGTTGACTTAATTGTATCTGATCTGAACACTCGTCTAACTGCTCATGGCTTTGCAGTAACATGCAGCCTTGTTATTAAAAAGAGCGGCGATATCTAGTCGCTGTTATAGACTTTAACACGCAGCAGAGGAATGCTCGTGGTCTGATTGGGCAGGGTAGCCAGTCATCCACCAATAGGGATGCAAAAAAAGGAGCATCTAAAAGCAGGAGGCCAAAGCACCTGACTGTTTCTTGACTACCTCTGCTCTCATGGACATTAGAGCGGATTAAACCAATCAAGCTTAACCTGAAAACGCAGAACTCTTCATTGTGATCTGGTATGTAGGACCATACTGGTCAGAGCGCATCCAGTTAAAACAAACATAAAGTTTTCATTATTTGCAAAGGGTTAATTTTGGCTCCAAATCCCCAGCTGCTGATGTAGGGGCCCCACCCTCGCTTCCTTTTCATTGGGCCGCCCAGTCTTTCAGTCGAGGACGCGTCTCCCCAGCCCGTCACGATTCTCCCCATCTGTCTCGAGCGCACCGGAGCCAGACGCCACTGACGCAGCACGCGCCTTACTCACTTTTAGTAGTCACGACTCGACTCATCGTGCACAAAAGGGAGGAGAGATGAAAAAATCCGCAAACGGATAGCAAATTGTAAATGTAACCTTTTTGTTTGTTTGTTTGTTTTGTGAGGCTCTGAACCGCTCTCCCTTCCGTATCTGCATAAAAAAGAAAATCACTCATGTATGTGTTCACATCGCAGTATGAAAAAAGTATGAGCAGATCAAGACACATCAAAAAGCATACATCCTGGTGCATCAAACGCAACACAGATGGATACAAATTGTATTTGCGCTGAGTGTAAACCGGCAAGCGCAACCTGAAACACTTCAGCACCACCACATAAAGGACAGCTCCCTCCTTACTCTTTGGCAGAAAACCGGGCAACATTTCCCAGAATATGCATCACAGAGTCAAAGCAGCAAGCCTGGTATCGCGTGCTTTATCTTGTATAAAAAAGTGGAAGACTTATCTACGAATATAAATAATCATCAATGGTGGTGATTCCCGCGTAGCTGCATTCACACACCGGTTGATGTCCTTTCCAGCAAGCTGCAAAAACAGCAGCTTAAAAAAAACACTCATTAGAGGCGTTTGGTTTCAAGTGGGAATCCCATCATAATCAAACAGATAAAAATAAAAATAAATTTTGGTTAAAAGAAAATAATAAAGCATATTACAGATGCAGGACACTGGGATTAAAAGGAAACAGGTGCATCCAGAGAAAGGTTGAAACAACTCACCGTTGTAGCGGCAGAGCCACAGATATAAACATGGAAAATTATATTTAAAAACGGACAAAATACCCTCTTTGTCCATTAAATCTGCTCCGACTTTTCTCTTCTCTCACTGTACTCTTGAATGGTATGCCTTTTATAGGAGTGATGCCCCCTATCTATTTCTGGATCACGATCCAACCCCGTTTCTATTTTTAGCTCGCGCGTGATGAAAAAAGAAAAGCTCGCAGAGGTTCCTTGGAGGAATTTCGAGCGTGCGGCGTTTGAGCGCGATCCTCTTTCCACGGTGGGCTGCACGCACGCGCAAGCCCGCCCGCATTTTCTTTGATAGAAAATGATCATGACTGCCAGCGGGAAAACGCCCGTTCCGGGTTGGTCAACGGGCCATAATGGTGTGCAAAACTGGACGCTTTTCATTTCTGTCTTTTTTTCATTATTATCAATTCACGAATTGTCGCTGAATGCGCGTTTGCGCTCTTATTTCACAGCGCCAGTTTGCGTTTAGGCGCAAAGAGACGCACCCATTCTGTGGAAAGAAAAACAAAAGATTTGGCAAATGACCATACGATGGTAGAGCCTGATGGTGGGTAAGTGGGTACCCCTTTTTTAACGCCTAAACAAATGGATAACAAAAATAGACTTCCTTCTGCTGCGGGCTGCGTCAGTCACAAAGGCATTGACGTCAGGTAGAGAATTTCCCACTTTGAAGGTGGAAGCAAAGCCTGCTTTTGCCTTTAATGTGAATAAACACCGCCGAGGGTCTTATAAGTAAAAATGTTAAAGAGTAGAGGAGGAGTCCAAAAGACTAGCTCTTTAATAGTCGGTGTTTATATCACAGGGAGGAAACTATAGTAGCATCGGGCGGACAATGGGGAGCAATTAACCCAAAAGGGTTGCACATGTGCAGAAAATGGACTGCAGGTTGGGTTTAGTTCTTCAAAAGTGGCTCTCAGAGTGATAATGCGGAGCTACAGAAAAAGGTGGAGGGCTGCCGCGGTCTCAGTCCTGCAGACTCCCCCCTGCATAGGGCAGAATGCTGAAACGCGTAGTAACGGAGCGGCGCTTGGCCGACCGATGATGCTATTTTTAACTCCCATCCTCAACACGCCTGGCGCTGCGGGTTTCTCTGCTCAAGGTGCTACTGTACAAGATGCGTCTTAATAACCCGCGGCAGCATTCATCGGACAAACTGCAGTCCGACTACAATAATCACATAGATAACAAAAACAAAAAAAACCCTCATTTGTTCTTCTATTAAAACCGATGTCTCTTTAAGAATAGAGACACCGTCTCATTCATTAAAGCTGCAACCTGCAGGATTTTCATGGCATTGCATTTGCAGGAGACTTTTGTTTCCTTTACGGTTTTTTATTCATACATTATTTGATTACACAGCACCCACGATGTGCAATCTTGTGTAGATGTACTTTAACATGCAGATGTAATGTGACAAAAATACACAGGCTCATCATTCATACATGATGCTGTCAGGAACAACATAGGCAGTAGAATGAGATCTGATGGGAGGAGTTTGATTATTCCTGTAGGATATAGTCATGGAAGAAAATTTTTGACCACCATCTGTCTTAACTTTCTCATTTAATATAACATCAGTACAATTAAATGTACAGTTGTTTTGCACAAATAGGTCTAAACGAACAAAGCTACAGTACAAGTTTTTAAAACTCATATTTTCTTAGAATTTGAACACAGTCACTGTTCTTTCATCACACTTATTTTATTTTACTGCTAGGAATAGTGCTTTCAGGCATTCACTGTTCTTTTTTCCATTCTGTTTGTTTTAGTCACATGATACACAGTTAGTGCTTGATTGCATAACCATTGTTTTTGATGACAAAGGTGGTCAAATAAGTTTTGCCATAAATATGAGTGTGTGCGCTCTTATCTTAGCATCAGAGTGGACCATTTCTTTTCCAATTTAACCAACAAATGAACAAACCAAAGTGAGGATATTTTGATGGTTCTCACTTAGTTTTTGCTTACAGTTAGATTTTAGACTAAGGTGTGATTTGAGTTTGAGTTAAGGTTAGAGTTAAGTATGCACTGCTAATGGTTAAGTTTAGTATTAAATATAGATTTGGTTAAGGCACATACAGGGTTAGAAATCAATGCAAGTCAATGGGAGTCAACACATGGTCCTCAATACATACAGCTAGGTGAGAATGTGGAATGAGTGTGTAATGACATAAAAGAGATAATTTTAAACATCACTTTTCCATAAGATATCAGTTTATCACCCCTTTAAATGTATTACCCTGCTCTACGAAAAAGTTTATATTTTGCCTGTGTGAGTCAATGCATGTGCACTGCATTAGAATTAGTTACCAGTCTTTTTATAACCTAATCATATTCACTTGTTGACTATAACATCCCCGTTTTAAAATGTTTGATTTGCTATTCAATGCAGTATCCTACCTTTTCTTAGGTTTTTCTAATTTCTTCTGAACAGTAATACAGTAGAATCAAAAACTTTCTGGTAGTGATGCCTTTAACTAAACTTGTTTAGTTAAAGGCTAAAAGTTGTTTCTTCTGCAGGAATACCAACACTTTAGATAGTTGTGCTCTGTACAGTAACATGAACATTTGCAGACAAGCTGCTGTAATGTTTAATATGAAATTGCTGAACGTACTTTCAGTAAGTAATGTATCTATGTTTGAACAGTGCTACGTTTATACAGTGACACTGTTAATCATTCAACGACTCAAAATCCAAAGCACAACTGCATATGCATTAAAATGATCTTTCTCTCTTATGATGTGACAGAAGTTGTTTTCTGACCATTATAATTCATTCAGAATGTATTGTGAAAAAGAGCAAGTGATAAAGAAAGAAAATTTTACAATTTGTTTACGTTTTCAAATCTGATTGGTGTGGCATGCAAATGATTTCTGAGCCATTTAGATTGCTCTTATTGAATAAATCCAACTGTAACCAACTGCCCCAAGAAACATACTAATATGTACAAAGAGATCAACTGTGAATACTGAATCTTTTCATCATTATAGCTGGTATATGAAGGCATCAAGTGATCTTGAATAGACAAACTGAAACATGGCTGTCAATTCTAATCATTGGCAATGCAGGGGTGATATTAGAGAGAATAAGCAGTACCTTCAACTTCATTCAGTACTGGTCAAGGCCAGATGAGTTCTGTTAAGGATGAATACTTAAAAAAAGAACTTAAAATAGTATGCTTTTTTATATTCTGTAACAATTACTGTATTTCTTTATTTTTAATGGCTACAAAAAAAATCACAAAAACCAAAACGGTTATTTTGTGTTCTTTTCTCCACTTCTCTGTTAAAGCATCGTAGAGTGTGAAAGGGTCATTGAGGATCTGTCCATGGTGCTGATTTCAAAGAAATCTTTCTGGTTGTGCTATCTTGCCCCTTTTCTTGTTTAATTTTTTTAGGAGAATGTACAGAATGATGCAGGAAGCTTGTAGAAACCATTTCAATCAGAATAAACATAAGATTAACAAAAAATTAGGGCTGGGTAGTTAATCCCAACCCTGGGCATTATTTGTTGTGAAACAACAAAACTTAAATTTTGTTGTCCTTTAAACTAAGGTCACCTCCCAAAATGGATGATTGAAATAAAAGCTATGTTTTGAAAGTAATGTGGGTGATTTGACAGTTTTATTATGAAACTTAAGGTAAAAAAAACAAAAATGATGAATCGGATTTGGTGAAAAAAAATAACAACCAGAGAATAGATTTTTAAGCTATATCGCCAAGCCCTATCAATATATTATATATTAACTGAGAGGAGATTCAGAAACACATGGTACCTGTGAAAAGGATAAGGCTGGGAACTGATTATAGATATATATACCATAGTCCTGCATTGCTGATAAAAGGGCAATATTCAAATGCTGTGAACATTTTTGAACTAAGCAGCATGAATATATTGTTTACAAACACACAATATAGTAAAGGAATAGTAGCATCAGGTAAACCATTATGAAAACAGATATTATTTTATTTTTCATAAATCAGCTTATTCATTGTTGGGTCACCAGGAATCTGTTGTCTATCTTTAATGGTCAATATGTGTGACGTGTGATCTCTAGAGGTACAGTAGATGGACCCTTACAACATTGTAAACATTTCTCAGCAGAGCAGTGTTAGAAAACAGTTTCAAATGTTATATTTCACCATTTTGTGGTAGTAAGTAAAAATCCTTTGGTTTGGTTTTGCAAAAATTAAGCCATCTCTAAACTCTTCAGGAAAATAATTTGCCATTGCTGTATCATTTAAGTGGGGCACTTCTGTAATTTTTCAAATCAATTGTCAATCTCAAAGTATCCTTTTGTAAAAAAAAAATAAAAATAAAAACCTGCTAGTGAGAAAGGTCAAGTACTTCAATCCAGTAAAACAAAGATTCCTACTCCAGTGATCCAAGTTTACCAAAAGAGCAAAGAGAAAAAACTCTGACCTCTAACACCCATATCCTAAACAATCCAGTAAAATAACCAAGATCTCACATTTAAAACTACTGAAGACATCTAGTTTAACCTGAGAAAACCCATACATTCTAAAGAGGAAAAAGACAAACCTTGAAATGATAATCTGACATAGAGGTCTTACTTACCATCATTTGGACGTGAGGCAGATAATGATTTTAAAAAGATAAAAATTACCCTTATCAGAGCATATTTTCTGAACAGGGGTGACAAATAACAAGGCGTAAAGAGGATCAAAGTTTATTTATTGTAAAAAATATCTATCAAAGACCATGCTATTGGATTGGTAGACTAATTCACCTCCTTTTGCACGTTGTCAGCAATGCCAAACGGTAAGAAGGGGATTGTATCTACTATTGTTGCTCAACCAATAAACCATAATGTACTACTAAATTTCAGATATATCACCAAGATTCAAGAATACTTTCTGAATTTTCTGGTTGCCAATCAAATAAAACTGAAATTTAAACAAAGATTCTGCCCATGTTTGAAATCTTAATGCACTTTATCTCAGTGCATTTAAAAATAGTCTGTCCTGTCAACGCAGGAAATTCACTATTATTACATAACGTCTTGCATCACTTTCATTCACTGATTCTATATTAGGTGATGCTGAGCTAAATATGAATACTTGCATACACCAAACAAATTCCAAAAAAAACCTTGAGCATCGTTCATTTAGTATAATGGAAAATTATCACTAAATGTAAAAAAAAAGAGATAGATAATAGAAAATGTGTGAAGCTGCTTTATTCAGGACTGAATATGCATGTTTTCAACCGAAGAAGTGCTCCTAAATCCTAAATCAAGGTTTTGTCTTTTAATTGCTATTAATGAAGTAACATGAAGATAAAAATAATCAGCACAAAAATAAATACATAAAAAAAAAATTGTTTAAGTGTAAATTGTAGCTAATCATGTGGAAGAAAGTAGAGATGTTTTCTGGTATTCATACAACTGCAAAAGCTGTGCAAACTGTAAAATCTGAATCTGCAATCTATAGGTGGGATATTTGATTTGAAAAAAGTACGATAACCGGGATGTAATGTATGTAGATACATTTTTATGAGTATATATAAGACATACAAGTCCTCTTTGCC